TGAATTCTTGTTGTGCTTTGTCCTTCCAAAAACAGAAGTTCAATAACTGTTTTGTACTTGTGGTTATGAATAGTTAAATAGAATGTAAATTCACAATTTGTTCACCTGAGCTTCTAGACACTGTATGGTTTATAGCTAAAAAAAAAAAAAAGAACTTCTGAATTCTGACTAATCGTTTGAAATAGTTCTAAACATTTTGAACAGGCATTACTTTTTGACTGACCCATTGTATCTATGGCAACATATATTCACTTGTTTCATTAACAAATTAATTACTTACATAATATAAGTAAATTCTAACAAAATCTTTTCTAAGTTCTTTTTTTCAAATCCTCAATATTAAAGAAATATCTGAAGGAAATTTTGTAACTTTTGAAGCTAAAGTCGTTTTTTATTGACAGTTTTTTTTTCTAATTTGCGTTCCTAACTCAGATTTTGGATGCCAAAGTGGAATGGAATGCCCAATCTAAGATTGGTTCAAATGATAATCTAACTCACAAACCAGGGGGTGGGGATAAGAAGGTGAGTAAGGTTGATCTGTTTGATGGAGAGAGATGAGGGTAAAAAAAGGAATCTTTGAAATTCTACAGGGGGCATGATTTTTAATGTTGTGTTTAACACATCGATTTTTTTTTTCTAGTGTCCTTGCATTATATTGGATAATGGTCCTTTACTCACTGAACAGAATGCTTAAAACTATATTAACTGAATTGGATCTGATGGAATTTAATAATGGTTAAAATAGAAAAAAATCCAGAATATTTGTGCCATAACATATCTTTCTACATAATCTACAAGTGCTAAATTAAGCATATTTTGTCCGATAGTTAATTTATACAATTTCCAATGTTTAAATTATTGTTTTCTTTCTCTCTTAAAATATCTACAGAATTAAATAATTTAAAGCAACATTATTTTCTTCTCCTCTATTCACTTTCTTCTAGTTTTGGCACAAATCTCAAAAAGAAAGATTTTCAAGAGGCGGTATAATAATTTGTTTTAAGTGGGGTGGGAGCATAATCTGTGTTTTTATTTTTTTTTTCCAAACTTTTTGAAATAGGTTCCTGTATAAAATAGTATTTTTTTCCAATTATAATCATTGATTTTCAAGCAGATTTTCATCATTATAAAGCAGTAATATTATCTCTGTTTAAAGAATATCCTATTTATTTATATATTTTTATTTTTTTCTTCTTCTTGGAATCATTTTTATTAAAATGACTTTTGGGTACTTTATAAAAGTTTTATCATATTTACTTTTTTAATTTTTTTTTTTTTTTATCTTCCTCAATCTATTCATAAATCTACCCAGATCTTTTTTGTTTTTCCACTCTCTTCCCAAATTTACATAATAGTATTACATCTCTCTCTTTTCTTTTTTTTTGTCATACACTAAGAAGATATTTTATTCTTAATTGATAAAATATGGTAATTATCATCATTGGCATTGTTTAAAATTAAATGTTGCTTTTTTTCTTAATTTATTCTTTCATTTCTTGGATCCTTTACAAACTTATTTCCTTACACTTTCATGAATACTTTAAGTTAATTGGAGCAAGGAACCAAATGAAAACTTTTAAAAAGTCATTGAAATAATAATATGAACATTAATATAAAAATTACTGAATCTAGAGAAATATTTGGAAATAAACATTGTCTCTCTTGTTGTTTCCCATGCTCCTGCGATTTTGGTTGGTTACTATTTTAAATGATAATCTTCAATATTAGATTAAATGTAATCTAAGTCAATTCTAATATTTTATTAGCATTGAATTGCTGATTCTCTTTCAATTAAATCATGATGATTATCATAGTTTATTAATTTATATGGTTCTGATTTCTAATGGAAGACTAATAGGATTAAAAATGACAAATTTCTCTAAATTCCATTTGTTTTGAATGCTTCTTTAGGAAGTCTTCCAAATGAATGCTTATCTTATTTTCATTTCTCATGAAAATATGTGAAAAATGAAGAATCAAATTTGATGCTTAAAAAAACAATTTATTATGGGTCTCTTTTCTGATTTACATTCCTAAATCAGATTTTGGACGAGAAAGTGGAGTGGAATGCTGAATCTAAAGTTGGCTCGAAAGCTAATCTATCTCACAAACCACGTGGTGGGGATAAGAAGGTGAGTAGGGTTGACCAATTTGACTGTTAGCAGTTAATGGTCAGATTCTCCTACTTGAAATTCTACAGGTGGCACTGATTTTAATGTGTTTACTTTCACACTTAATTTTGTCTTGTGTCCTTATTTTAGATTAAAGAATGGTTCTTTTCTCATCGAATACAGAAATCTTTAAACTGTATGAATTGAATTTTTACCATTGCTTTTGTGATATTTATGAAGAAAATACTGTGAGATGAAGTTCCGTTGTAATTTGAAATTGATAGAATGCAAGAATCTAAATGCCAGTCACGTTGTATTTTGTGTCTGTCACATTTTTCCTGGTTGAAAGCTGGAAATTTAAAAGTATTTTTTAGTTATTCATATTTTCTTGTAATGTTATAACTTTTAGTGTGTTTATTGAATCAGAAGTTTGTAAGTTTGCATCTTGTGGTTTCTCATTTACATATATATATGAGAGAGAGAGGCAGGCAGGCAGGCATTCCAGAAGAGTTTCTTTTTTTCTTTTACAAAATAAAGGAAAAATGTACATTTTTATTCAATCTTCTTTTAATTTGAATTTGTTGCAAGATTTTGGTGTCTTTTCAGTCATGCTAACATTTTAATTTCTTGTTATGCATGTTTGTTTGTTTATTTTACTCTAGGTTTAGTTCTTACTTCATTCTTAAACTCAAATATGTTTCAACATTCAGATTTGATTTTGACTCTGTCTTTTTAACATGATCAAAATTTTTGAATCAATTTTTGCTTTGCTAGCAGTCATCAATTGTTTACAAACTTTATTACCTAAGAATCTGTTTGTTATTGACTAAATTGAGATCATCATCATTCCTTTATTTATGATTATAATGGGTAGATGATCTTTTTAAGTGGATAAATAAGTGTTCGTAGTTAATGTTATTGCAGTCTTATTCAGAATTGGTATTTTTGTCTTGTATTTAGGAATTTTATGTTCTTGATTTCAAATAGAGATTTATTAAGTGAAAACTGTCTTAACATTTTCATGATTACTCATTATTTGTATTGTTGTCATTGTCTATAACTTTGAGAAGAGATATTAACATTGTAACTTTTTCAGACAATTTAATCTCCTCTTTGTATCTTTGATCTTCAATCACTTGAAATGTTGTCATTGACAAAATCAATGCACGAAGAAGAGATTAAATTGTCTTCCTAGAAGATGGAGTGTTGTTCTCTGACATTTTAAATGTACACAAGCCAGTTTTTTATGGCTTCAGGTTTTGACTTTCTTATTTAGTTCAGCTGACATAAAAATGGCTAAGTTAACTATTCATAAAAGATGTCAATCAGGTTGTATTTGCTTCCTCCTTCAGTTATAATAATGTGAACAAAAATAGGCATCTGACATTTGCTTTGAGAAAGATTAAATCTGTTTGTATTTGACATTTAATTGCAATTAACATACATTATTAAAGAGGACATCAATGATTATTTTATTCTCAAAGAACTCTGACAGATTGTTCTGTCAATAAAACTTGAACGAATGAACAAGAATCAAAGAACTGAATTTTGCTTTCTTCTTTTTCTCCTAGGACATCTTTTAATACACAATCCAATCCAGCCTGAATCAGTGTTTTTTGTTTGTGAAATTTATTAATTCAAATATTGAAATTTTGATATTTTTCACTGATATCAGTTCTTAAATTTTTGTAATTGACATACTCCTAACATAATTTTGGGGATTTTTCCCTGAAATGCTTTTAAGTCATAGCAGTTGTTATGTTTAGAAATCTATATTTTTTTTCTTTTAAATCAGTTTCTATATTATTTCAAATGATGTTTTATGATCACTTGAATATTACTTTGAAATTAATCAACAAATTTTTAAATGATTGAATATTAAAAGCTTATCAGTAAATGACATACAAAGCATTAAAATATTCAAAGCTTGATGAGAATTTCTACAGAAATGTGCAAAATGATGAAATGTGCTTTAAAATTTCTCAATTATCAATTTTTATAATTAAACAAAATCTGTCTCATACAGAAAACTCTTAAAAAAATTAAGAGATTAATCAATTTTTTGATTTAAAGTGAGTATTGGTGCCTATCAGTATCACCATTTTCCTCAGTCGAGATCATAGTCCTCAATTAACTGCAGTATAGGGTTGTGAACTCCATAACCCTTTCCATCACTGATAGAATCTGCTTCAGCAGTGTTACATATAGTTTTGAATTCAGAATTGTTGTTCTCCAAGACTGGTTTTAGAAATGGTTGTATTATTCATTTTATTTTTATATTAGAATTCACTCAATATGAGGCTCAAGAGCCACTCAATCTACAGTGTTACTTTTAAACTGTTAATGATGTATGAGGTAAGTGATATGAATGAAAGAGTAGATAAAAGGTGAATACTGTGAGGATAAGGAGGTTAGATCAGGATTGACCTGTAACTTGAAGATTGTAGTGTTCAGAAAAAAGTACTCACATGCGAGTCTGTTCCACAAAGTGGCAGTTCTTGAGGGGAAAAAGCTGTCCAATTTAGAACAGTGGTAATTAGGGTGATTTGAATCCTTGGAAGTGGCATGATGTATCCTCTTTGTAAAGGTCTGAACTAGTAGACTTAAAAATAGAGCTCATTTGAATATGTAATCATGGTAGGGTAGGGATAGGCTTTCAACATTGCATCTGTAGAAAAGGGACGAGAGTGCCAACAGTATATATACTTTATTATATTGGTTAACTAATATTTTTCATTTGCAAATCATTATCTTTCTAGGTGTAAAACTTTCAATATATCAGATGTTCAAATAAGTGATATATTTTTTAATTTTGGTTTTTAAGGAAAAAGATGAAAAATAAAAACAAAATGGATGGTCATTTTTTTTTTATTTGTCTTTCTAAATCAGATTTTAGATGAAAAAGTGGAATGGAGTGCTCAACCAAAAGTTGGCTCAAAGGATAATATAACTCACAAACCTGGGGGTGGAGATAAAAAGGTAAGTCAGTTTTATAATTTGATAATTCTATAACCTTAATAGGGACACAGATTTTAATGTGTCTTGTTTTTCATTGATGATAGCCTGAAGTTATATTGATTGTTGATGTAATATTATTCTTAATTTTTTGGTCAGTGTTCAGGTGATTGCTATTCTATCATGGCTTGTAAACCTTCTCCTCAGAAGGATAATATGTGAGACAAGGTCAAGTTTACTGTTGGGTTACAAGCACACTTGAACCTGTCATCATCTTAAATATTGAGTTATTAATGCATCACTTGCTTATTTTGCTTAATCTTTTCCATAAATTTGTGAAAACTGGAAATCAATTTTTTTTATGTAATATCTTAACATTAATTTAATAAATTTTATGCAAATGTATTTTAAAGAATATGTATGTAAATAAATTCAATTCTATTATCTAAACATCTGATGAGCAGATTAATTTCTGTGAAACTTGAAGTCAAGAAATATGTTTTTTAGCTATTTATTTTATTTGCTTAATCTTAATGCTCTACACTTACAAAAACTGCTTGCTTAAAAACCGTTATCTTCCAGTAATACACTGATTGACATTATTCTTTTCATTTTTTTTATTTTTGAAATACAGTCATTGTTATAGAGTCTATTATTCAAGGTTATTTACTTGTGAAACTTTGGAAGATCTATTTGATTTGTAATTTAGTGTAATAGAAAAAAAAATTATTTGCATTTTTTTATTTTCTTTAAAAAATATGATCATTACTTTAAAATTATTAAATGTTTGCTTTCTATTAAAATATTTCTATTAGAATAAAAATAGTACCCAATTCTCCTTAGAGAGGTTTATTTAATAAAAAGAGAGAAAAAAATTAGAAAAAAAAGAAAGTAAAAAAGAAAAATGTTTTAGCATTAAAACTTTTTTAAATTCTGAAACATTGTGGTTTGCTTCTTCCATTGTCATCCATTTTTTGGCTGGGGGAGTTCCACACTATTCTGATGCTATCAGCATAGAAAGTGGAACTGGCAGTATGGAGTTCACATTCCAGCCTAGTCAGTTGCATTTATTTTGGCATTAATGGCCTTGGGAAAGGCAGGAATCCATCTCTTCTCTCTGCCAGACTAAAAAGGAAAACTCTGAATTCAAAACCTTATACAAAACTAATAATCCACTATCTTTTCTAAGAACTCATGCCAATTCATAGATTATAAAAGAAAACAAAGTTGTGGAAAGCCATGATTGTCTATGTACTGAAGGGATATGGTGTCAAAAAAAAATTGCTTTTGTATCTTTTTAATTCAGATTACTTTTGACAGTTTAATTTATATTTGATATTGACTAATCCACACACACAATATAAAATATAAAATAGAAAATATAAGCTAAAGGCTTAAAATATAAAATAAACTGGAGGCCCAATGCTAAAGTTGGCAGAACGTAGATATATTATTAATATAATATTATATGTAATTCATTAAAAAAAAAAAAGAATTGGACAAATTAAATATTTGTCAAAAATATATGAGTAAAAAGTGCTCAATGCAAATTCAAATAACTAAAATGGAGAGCAATTTGAAATATAAAGATTTACTTGAAATTTTTACGTTGACAGGCATTGAGTTGGCTTTTCCGTTCTGAAAAGTCTAACTTACTGCCTGATGATACCAGAGATGGCTAAAACTAATATATATATATATATATATATATATATAGTGGACATTGGAGTCAACACCCAGAGGCAACAGTCTGTATCATCAGGTCATGGCTGACTGTTGACTTCAATCTCTGTTTTTATATTTATATACATTCTATGACGTTAACCCATAAATATAGCATACCTTTAAACTATATCATATTATATATATATATATATATATATATATATATATATGACTTGCACATAAATTATGGGTTTTTATTGAAAAAGTACTCAATGTTATATAACAGAGCTATAAAGTATATATATTAATAAATATACATATACCACACTGTTTGCACTACTTGAAATTTCATGCCAAAGGCAATCTTCAGTGTTGAGTGTATACCGACCATTATTTTAATTTGAAATTAGTTAAGCACTATTTATTTAGTGATGTAATCTTTTTCAAAAGCTTAAAAAAAAATATAGCATACCTTTAAACTATATCATATTATATATATATATATATATATATATATATATATATATATATGACTTGCACATAAATTGTGGGTTTTATTGAAAAAGTACTAAATGTTATATAACAGAGCTATAAAGTATATATATTAATAAATATACATATACCACACTGTTTGCACTACTTGAAATTTCATGCCAAAGGCAATCTTCAGTGTTGAGTGTATACCGACCATTATTTTAATTTGAAATTAGTTAAGCACTATTTATTTAGTGATGTAATCTTTTTCAAAAGCTTAAAAAAAAAATATTACATTTCTCATGACATTAAATCTAGCAACAAAACCAACTGGTATTACCATATGCACATAAAAGATAAGTAATTATTAATTTAATTTTATAGTGGTGAGTTATCAACTATAAATTATTAATAATGAAAGGGAGCTAATTTAATTTAATATAAAATAGTAAAATTATCAGAGAAAGCTATATATATATATATATATATATATATATATATATATATATATATATATAATAAAAATCTATATAATACGTAATAAATATTAAATAAGTAAATAAGTAAATAAAAAAAAACAATAAACAAAAAACTACACTGAAAACTAAACCATGATGGTATATAAAAATTAATTTGGGTCTGCATATGTAAGTAGATAATTTATATATATATATATATATAATAAAAAATCTATATAATACATAATAAATATTAAATAAGTAAATAAAAAAAAACAATAAACAAAAAACTACACTGAAAACTAAACCATGATGGTATATAAAAATTAATTTGGGTCTGCATATGTAAGTAGATAATTTTTATACCTACATGTGACCATCAGTTCTTGCATATATTCATTAATATATATATACATATATATATATATATATACATGCACACACACATACACACATAAGTTGATTAAAGACCAATGAAAAGTCTTTGTTAAAATTTTATTTATTTTTTCTATATTTTTTAATCTTTTTCCTGGTACAAATTTACATATAAAGTGTCCAATGTTTGAGTGCTTGTGGCTCTTATAAGACATTTTCAAAATGTCTTGCTATTTTATGTTATGCCAATTTCATCATTTTCAAAAATAACTTTTTTGCATTTTTATGTGATGGTTCATGTCATGTATTTTTTATTTATTTTTTTTTATCAAATTTATATAGTATGTTTGTTCTTAAATATGATAAAAGAAAAAATCAGAAATCCAAAAAATTCTCACCAATAACAGAAAAATACTATGTCACGTGAAGATGCTAAAATGCAATATTTGAGAATGATGAAATTGAAATTGTACAAAAAACAAAACTTTGCAACCAAATATTTAGAATGCTTTAATCATAATAATTTTTCTGTTGATGATAATTAAAAATTTAACAATTATATTAATATTAAAAGTTCTTCTTGAGTGTCAGTTTTAGCCATGGATTTTGTTTTCACTATTTTTGAGATATTTTTTTAAGAATTTATGAGAATTTTTGCTTTCATATATGCCCCTGCCACTATACTGAGAGAATTTACCAGCTGTTTTAGTTTTTAAAAATTATTGTATAGAGAGTCTATGTTCTACTAGACATGTGTAAGTCAACGTCAAAATTTACAAATTGCAAATAAACAATTTTTCAACCTTTTTCTTGAATGATGTAAATCCTCATCATCATATCTTAACCCTCACCTGTCACATTATAGTCCCATTTCTTGATTTGATATCTTCTTGTGAAATTTTTCATGATGTCATTTACTAGTGTCTCGTATCTTTTCTCAAGAAATTTTGATAACAGTGGAAGAAATGTCAAAAACATCCAGCATCAAAAAATTTCATAAATCTTTGTAGCTCATTATTCTCAAAAGATTTTTAGCCACTTTAAGAATTTTTGTCTTTTATTCTTTTAAATTCTATTATTTTCAAAACATTTGGTTTGGTAAAAATCTCAGCTTCAACATTTGAGCTGACTGTATAGGAATATAATAAAGAGTTCACTTTGAAATTTCCAGAAGTTTTACTATCACATTTAAAGAAGGTCAGGGTGTATAATGGTTGAAACACTATAATTTTAGTAACCAAAATAAGTTCATTAGTCCAAGAATATAATAATAATGATTTCTCATCTGAAAAAAAAAACAAAACCTTGTGACTATAATGACCAAGATTAGGACAATAGTCCCAAGAGAATCAGCATATAATATCAGAAATATCTAATTTTGTCTTGAGGTTTTTACCATGGAACAATAACCTACAAGATTAAAAGGTTAGTTAGTGAATTTGGTGACATAGTAATTAAGTGTTTCAATCACTGCACCAAATACTATGAATGTACTAAGACTCAGTGGAAATAGAACCAACAATAATATAACAAGGATGACATGGGACAGCAGAATGATAACAATAAATAAAGGGTTCAGTTTGGAATTCCTTGAAGGTTATCTGCACTGACAAATGCCTGAAAAAGGTCAGAATGGATAATATCAAAGCATTGTAATACAAATAACAAAGATGTGGATATTTGTCTGACTGTCAATAAGCACTAATTTGATATGCTGAAGAAGCATAAGGACTTATTCTGATTTTATAATTTACATAGTTTATACCTGGAATAAAGTGTTTTTTTCCTTTTTTTCTAGAATGTATTGTATAACTGTGATGGTATCCTGTTAAAGAGCTACTCATTTTGAAATTTTGACAGTCCAGCCATTTATATGTACTTGAGAATAAATTTTACTTTTTTAATAATCTTCAATGTGCAGAACTGAATTCCTATTGACAGATAGTGATTTATATTGTGCAAAGGAAAGCGTTCAGGAAAAACTGTTAGTAGAGAAATGGCATTGTCTGTAGTGTTCATCAGCTTTAGGCTTAGAAAGCAGGGTATGTTTCT